ACATATTTTAGATTAGGTTGTTTTGATTTGTGATCATGGTAAGTAATCACATTGCCCCACTTCTCTCTCCAGAAGTATTGTGTGCTGTCGAGTTAGTTCCGTCTCATAGTTACCTTGTATAGGATTTCCTAGGAGCAGCTGGTAAGCTTGAACCGTGAAAACTTTACATGTCAAACCGACCTTGCAGTCCAGTACATTAACCTGCAGTGCCATACCAGGGTAGATAACCAATATTAGAAAATTGTTCATGTTTATGTTGTTGTTGTTATGTGCCATGGAGTCGATTCCAACTCATAGCGACCCTATACAGGCTTTCTGAGGCTGTAAATCTTTACAGGAGCAGAACACCTAATCTTTCTCCTGCGGAACAGCTGGTAGTTTCAAACTGCTAACCCTGAGGTTCTCAGCATGTTTATGTGAATCTTCTAAAATAGTCAATAATTTATTTGCTTTATATATAACATTCTACATATGCATTTAGAAATTATTTTTTAAAGCTGTTTGTATTCTTTTTTACTTTGGGATGTCCTTTAATAAATTAGTCAGCTAAAAGAATAAACAGGAAAGGAACTTTTAGATATTTCTTTAAGAGAAACATGAGATTTAAACAAAATTTACTAGAGTAACACTCAGCAGGTTTTGTTTTGTTTTGTTGTGGGCAGAAGAAGATGGGTAAAATATTTACAGTATCCTATTGAAAACGGCCACCACTTGTCTGTCGTGCTGTGGTGGCTTGAGTTGCTGTGATTCTGAGGGCTATGCCACCGGTATTTTAAATAACCAGCAGAGTCACCCATGGTGGACAGGTTTCAAATGAGCTTCCAGACAAAGACAGACTAGGAAGAAAGAGTGACAAACTACTCCTGAATCGTTAGTCACTGAAAACATTATGAATAGCAGAGAAACATTGTCAGATACATTGCCAGAAAATGAGCCCCTGAGGTTGGAAGGCACTCAAAATGCGACTGGGGAAGAGATGCCTCCTCAAAGTAGAGTTGACCATGATGACGTGAATGGAGTGAAGGTCACTGGAGAAGAGCCCACAGAACGTGCATTTGTTGATGGGGTACAACTCAAAATGAAGAGAAACAGCTATAAACATACACTGAAAATCGGAACATGGAATGTACGAAGTATGAATCTGGGAAAATTGGAAGTTGTCAAAAATGAAATGAAACGCATAAACATTGATATCTTAGGCATTAGTGAGCTGAAATGGACTGGTATTGGCCATTTTGAATCTGACAACCGCATGGTTTACTATGCAAGGAATGACAAATTGAAAAGGAATGGTGTTGCATTCATCGTCAGAAAAATATATCCAGATCAGACATGAGGTACAACGCTGTATGTGATAGGATAATATGCATGCATCTACAGGGTAGCCCAGTTAATACCACTGTTATTCAAATTTATGCACCAACTACTAAAGCCAGTGAGGATAAATTAGAAGAAGTCTACCAACTAATTCAATCTGAAATTGATCAAACATACAATCAAGATGTATTTGATCATTACTGGTGATTGGAATGCAAAGGTTGGGAGCAAAGAGGAAGGACCAGTAGTTGGAAAATATGGCCTTGGTGATAGAAATGATGCTGGAGAATGCAGGATAGAATTCTGTAAAACCAATGATTTGTTCATTTCAAATACCTTCTTTACACAACATAAGAGATGACTATACACATGGACCTCGCCAGATGGAACACATGGAAATCAAATTGACTACATCTTTGGAAACAGAAGATGGAAAAGTTCCATATCATCAGTGAAAACAAGGCCAGGGGCAGAATGTGGAACAGACCATCAATTACTCATACGCAAATTCAAACTGAAGCTGAAGAAAATGAAAACAAGTCCACGAGAGCCAAAATATGACCTGGAATATATCCCACCTGAATTTAGAGATCATCTGAAGAACAGATTTTATACATTAAGCACTAAAGACTGAAGACCAGAAGAGTTCTGGGATGACTTCAAGCATATCATATGTGAAGAAAGCAAAAAGTCATTAAGAGGACAAGAAAGAAGGAAGAGGTCAAAATGGATGTCAGAAGAGACACTGAAACTTGCTCTCCAGCGTAGAGATACTAAAGCAAATGGAAGAAATGAGGTGGTCCAAGAGCTGAACAGAACATTTCAAAGATCAGCTCGGGAAGATAAAGCCAAATATTATAATAAAATATGCAAAGATTTAGAATCAGAAAACCAAAGGGGAAGAACACGGTCAGCATTTCTCAAGCTGGGGAAACAGAAGAAAAAATTCAAGCCTCGATTTTTGTTATTGAAAGATTCTCTGGGCAAATTATTGAAAGAAGCAAAAAGCATCAAGAGAAGATGGAAGAAATACACAGAGTCACTGAACCAAAAGAAATGGTTAACGTTCAGCCATTCAAGAGCTACCATATGATCAAGAGCCAATGATACTAAAGGAGGAAGTCCAAGGAGCACTGAAGGAATTGGCAAAGAACAAGACACCAGGAATTGATAGAATAAAAATTGAAATCTTTCAAGAAAGTGAGGCGGCACAGGAGGCACTCACTCATCTCTGCCAAGAAATTTGGAAGACAGCTATCTGGCCGACTGATTGGAAGAAATCCATATCTGTGCCCATTCCAAACACAGGTGACCCAATGGAATGCGGAAATCATCG